CCCCATGGAGACACACTCTTTCGAATGAAATCTTTCGCTGAAAGATCTTCAATGTGCTTCTTCAGCTCCGCCAACTCTGGTGGTGACATCCGGTATGGAGCTAAAGAAATGGGCCCCACACCAAGCAACAAGTCTATGGAGAACTCTATCTCCCGCTATGGCGAAAACTCAGGAATCTTCTCAGGAAATACCTCAAGGAATTCCTTCACCACAGGAATGCCAGCGATATCCTCCTGTGTCCCACTCACCAAACCTCCCAACATGACATAACCAAATGCCCCTGCTCTCAAGGCTCTCCTAGCCTGCACCACTGAAATATAAGGCGAGGAACTGGTTGTGGAATCACACGAAGACATCACCACTCGCTTGGCACAACAGTCAATCATCACATAATTTCTGGGCAACCAATCCATGGCCAGAATGATCTCCAGATTAGCCATCGGCAATCCTATCAGATCTATCGAAAAATCACGGCCATCCCACTGAAACACGACATCTCGATGCACAGTGGAGGTATCACACTTTTCTCCAGCGGCGGTGGTCACCCGCAACGGTGGAGAAAGCACAACAATGGGAAACTCGAGCCCCACAACAATCGGGGTTGCAATAAAGGAATGTGTAGCCTTGGAATCAAGTAACACATCAACTGCAGAACCACCAATAGAAACGGTACCTCTCACAAGGTCCGGAGCTCTATTCGACTGCTGACGATCTAGCGTATACACGCAGCCGGTGGCAGGTGGCACAACAGGTGTCGCAGAAGATGCAATAGAAACCATCTGTAACGAACTTCTTGAACCGCTGCAGCTCTCGCCGTCGACGATGGACAATCTTTGGAATAGTGGCCCTCCTTGCCATAGTGAAAACAGATCAGCTGGCCGGTAGCACATCGTCCTGCATGCTCTTTTCTGCACCTTGAACATCTAGGAGTGGAAAGAGGTCTAACAAAATCTCCCTGTTGCGAAGAGGTCCTCTTGAACTGACTAGGCGCCTGCCTAACAGCTAATTGCTTTCCATTTCCCTTACCAGCAAACTTCCTGTCCTTCCAGGAAATGGAACTACAAGTTCCCTTGACCTCAGCAACCTTGGCCCTCTTGGCCTTACTCAGGATGCATACATCCTCGATGTCCCGACACTGCTGTACCAGTGTCCCAAAGTCTCTCGACGCAGCTCCAGCAATGCGATCAGCTATCTCCTCATTAAGTCCCCTACGGAACTTAGCATCCAAGAAAGATGGAGTAGGCATAGAGATCTTGAAATGTGAAAACTTGACTAGTTCATTGAACTTAGCCAAGTACTCGTCAACAGACAACGAGCCCTGCACCAATCGGTCAAACTCTCCCTGCTTCCTCTCCTGAGCATCATAAGGAAAGTATCTGCCCAAAAAGCAGTCCTCGAAGAATGGCCATGTCATAACATGACCCTGCATCTCATAAGCTTGAGAGGTGTTCGTCCACCACTCGTGTGCATCGCCCTCCAGCATATATGTCACAAACATCAACTTTTGCAGATCAGTGCACTGCATGCCTCGGAAAATCTTATCTAACGCCTGAAGCCATCTCGCAGCAGTAATAGGATCATAAGATCCATCAAAGGAAGGTGGCTTATGCTTGCGAAAAGCATTAAGCCGGCAGTCTATCACATTACGGTCCTCCATAGGCTCATGTTAGGGTTCCATCACCCTAGTATGATGACTGATACCCTCCACGTGACTCAGGCTATCGTCCTGAAGACTGGGTGGAGGCGGTGGTGGTGGTGGCGATGGAGGTGGTGGCAGAGGGAACTGACCCTCATTGCGGCCAGCCCGCATCTCCTCCAACATGACCCTCATCATGGTTATGTTCGCCAACCTGTTCGCCTCAAGAATATCTTCTGTGGGCTTCCGATTCGCCTCGCGAACGACGTCTTTCATCGCTTGGTTGGCCAATCTAGCGGCCTCCTGATTGGCTAGTCTAGCCGCCTGCATCTCAGCTAATGCAGTCAGGACAGGATAAGGCTGATCCTCGTTCGTCTCTCGGTTTCTCCTAGGCATTACCATGACTCTGCATAAGTTCCACAAAGAATGAGTTGATCAGGCCCACGCAATGTGGTCACAATTGCATCATCATAGCAAAACCAAACAGAGAAACACACAAGACAAGACTTACAGCACAACATCCTAAGTTATTGCAATACATACAGACTTTTCTCTAGAAAGTGCTCTGATACCATAAAATGTAACACCCCGTGTATACCCGATTTGTTATCATGTCATCGCATTAAGCTACGCTTAATTAAAATTGCGGAATAACTTTTTCTTTTCAATTATGACGTCATTAATATTACCAAGTTGATTACTTAATCTTTTTTCGTAAATATTGCCTGTATGTAATTTGCAACAAAGCTAAATACACTTAATAACCTCAATATATAAATAAAGGTGAATATCTAACTCACGGAACTATAACACGTAGTCTGGAGCATAATCCTGATGCATTTAAATAACTCAATACTAGTCAAACATAGTCAATCAACGCGGCAAGGACAACCTCTATGCTCACCAAATAAGGCAACAAAGCCCAACAGAATCACAAGTCAAATAACAGGATAATACGAATAAAGCAGCATCCAATCAAAGCAGTATAATCATCATGCATCAGTCAACTAAGCTCCGGCCTCCTGCTGCCCGAGGTCTCAACCCCTGAGTTACCTGAACCTGAAATATGTGCCCCAAACGTGGGGCGAGATCTCTAAACAGAAATCTCAGTAAGGCAAGGGGTCCTCAAGGATTTCTCCACCCTAAGCTCACTTACACGTGAAATATAAGTTCTAAAAGAAATATACAATATCAGTTCCAAAACCAGTGCAATGCAGCAGATAATCATGTCATATGTGTCAAGATATTCTACTGGCCAGAGAAATGTAGGATTTACATACGTCTATTACCTACATCAGTGCAAGACGCCACTTGCACCCACCTACAGAGTCGCAGTATTGTATGACGCCACAAACTTAGGCTTACTGTCTAGGTGGAACAACACATGCATATTATAAGGCCCTTGCACATAACAACTAACAACATTTCAAAATCCATACATGAAAACACATCATGCATATAAACCATCCCCCATGGGGTATGGTGGAACCAACAATGGCTAAACTGAGGACACGAAAGCTTACCTCTAAGCGATCAATCCAATCCAAGGTCCACACCCGCTAAAAGTCCACACACAGCACATTCATAATCTGTTTGGGACCAATAATCATATCAATATTCACACTCTACCAGCATATGACTTAAAGACCACGCCTTCCTTTTATGTTTCATGTCTTTAGGCTTCTCACAAAGCCATAAGCCCTTAATCACTTAGATTCTGACTTAGATTAATTATTACAGAAGTCCACATTAACCAATTACGGGTTCACAAAACCAAAATAGCATTTTGTATGAACAGTACAGTTACTGTATCGAAATTCCCAGAATATCTGGATATATGTCGGAGCCATATCCGTATATCCATATTCAGATATCATATCCGGATATCATATCTAGATATTCATAATCGGATATCACAAAGACCATATCCGGATGCCAATATCCGGATATTAGATCTGGATATTTCGCGACAAAATGCAGTTTCTGCATTTCGTGAGATATCACTCCCAAGGTTCCATTTTTAATCCATTTTAACGAACAAGCATGCATTTTTACAGACATTTAGGTTCATACAAGATCCCACTTTTAACCAAGGAAACTCATGATCAAAGGTGGTGGAGCTTACCCAAAGGTTCAAAACAGAAAAGGAATGCTCTTGGAGCACACCAATCAGCTCCAAAGGTTTTGACTACAAGGAACACGAAAATGCCTCCACAAGAATGGTCCTTTCTCTTCAAAGGTCACTCCTTGGAGCTCCCACAACCAAGAAAATGGTTCCCTCTTCAACAACCAAGAAGTCAGATTCCTTACCACTACTAAACAGGGGCCAAAGCTCAGAAAATGACAGACTCCACCCTCACAAACCACTCTACCAAGTGTTTACCATGTATAAAGGAGAAGAATCAATGGAAAAGAGATGACTTGAGATGTTTTTCAAGCAAGAAAGACCATGGAAGAAGGTGACAAGCATGAAGACACACTCAGTAGCCAAAACCCACCCATAAAGGCTGAAGAATCAGCCTAGGGTTGTGTGAAAAGGTCTATTTATAGGCCACTTAAATTAATCACACTGGATTAATGCTAATAACTACGCTTAGTATTTTAATCCCAAATTTTGGAATCTGAACCTACTCATTTTTCTAAGATTTGTCATATTTTTATTTTATTTTTCGCAGAAACGCGCTTTTACATAGTCAGTATCAGTTCTGACAGCAATTCTCATTATTTTGACTTGAAACTTGTTTTTACTAGTCCTATATATTTTTCTAGGAATATTTTCACACTTATTATAATTTTCCGGGATACTTCATCGGTACGCATTTATACCGAGGAGCGGAACCGGTATCTGCACTTTTCGTCAGAAAAGTGACTTTCAGCGTTATTAAATCACTTACCATAATTATTCAAGCATTATCATAATTATTAGGGTCAATATGGAATTATTTCTTTAATTTCATATTTATTTAATTAATTTCTCAATTTAACGGTGCGGGTTCTTACATGCCTCTATGACATCACATTCTCCAGTAGCATGTTCACCCGCACAGACCTCGCAAATAGCCAGAGGAGTGTTAATGTAAGAGACTTGTTGAGAAGCTAACTATTTAGTGAGAGCATCTAATTGTTGTTGTTGTTGCTTCTTATGCATCTGCATCATCTGATCGTTCTGCGCCAACAACACATCATAACCTTCCAACTTCATGATCACTACTCTCCTCTGAGGCACTGGAGCATTGTCAAACTCTTGAGAGGCTAAAGATCCAGCAGCTCCAATTCATCCTCTAAAGTCTTTGTTTTCAAAGATCCTTCTGTTGTAGCGTTAATTAAGCATCTTGAAGTGATCTAAGCTTTTTCCTAAGCCGGTAACCCGTGTTGCGGACATGTCCTGAGCAATCCCTTGAACCTTTCTCATGCTTCATAAAGGTATTCGTTGTCCTTCTGAGCAAAGCAAGCTATATTAGATTTAAGCTTGGCTAACTTCGAAAAGGGAAAAAAATGGGCTAAAAGCTTTGTTGAAAGATCATCCCAGGTTGTGATACTTCCTTGAGGTTGTGTCTGCAGCCAAGTTCTTGCATCTTTCTTTAGTGTAAAGGTTTCGCCTTAGAAAGATTGCATCACGAGAAACTCCATTCATCTTCAAAGTGTCACACAATAATAGAAAAAAATTTACATGAAGATGTGGGTCTTCTGCGCTTCCTCCTCCAAATTGTTCCTTTTGAATTAATGACAACAATAAGGGCTTGATTTCAAAGTTGTTAGCATCCACGTTTGGCCGAACAATACTTGGAGTAATGTAGTCCCTCAATGCCCATGGAAGATTTTGTATTTGGTTGTCCTCAGCCATGTTTTCCTCCTTTGGTTCAGTAGAGCTTGAAGCTTCTTTTTCTTTTCTCTCTTTTTGTGATTTTTCTGTTTGGTCCAGCTGTCTTTTCTATCTATAGGTCGAGCTGCAAGAAGATGGATTAACAGTACCTCATATAAACCATAACATAGAAATATTAAAAATAAAAACTAAAACTGAATAAAAATGCAAAAAATTGAAGTGCACAATTTTAAATTGCAGAAAATTAAAAATCCAATCTAAAGTACTTATAGCTACTTCTAATGTTGAAGATTCTAATCCTCAGCAATAGCGCCAAAAACTTGTTGCGACTTCAATAAGTGCACCGATCGTAAAAGTAATAAAAGTGTACGTGAGTACGAGATCATTCCTACGAGGATTATATTTCAAGCACTAGTTCAATATTTGCGCTTTATTTGGACAAACGATTATGAGAAGTTTGAATTAAAACTAAAATCGATTAAAAGCATAAGAATTCAAAATTAAAAAGAGTGCGTTTTGACAATGAAGAAAAGCGTAGTTAAGGTTTCGATTTCCCCTAATTAAAAAATGCCCTTAATATAATGACAATCGATTCCTCTAAATTAATTAAGGCTCAATCCCTTGTTACCTTAATTCTATGTGATCTTAAAAGAATCACACGATTGGATAATTACCCTATATCTATCCCTAGATCACAAGGATTACGATAAATTTATCAAATTCACGGTTCATGCACCAACATCCCTATTTTCATACAATTTTCCTAAATCAGTCTACAAGGAGCGAACTCTTAAAAAGCATTAAACATAGACAAATTCATTCAATTATAAAAAAGAAAATTACGACATAATTTAATCCATAAACATAGGAATTCAGTTGGGTTCCATCTACTCTTAATGTAACAGCCTGTTACATACCGGTAATGTTATCATTGCATATGGTATTAAGCGCAGTTACAATCACAGTCATTGAGTTAATTAAATTACGGGTAAACTTTTCTTTTTTAAATCCTTATAGTTAACATTAACCAATTCCATAATCAATTAAAAACAATACCATAATTGTAAATGCAAAACTCGCGGAAGTATAAAACTCATTTATTACAACCCCTCCAAGTAATACCCTTAACTCTAGGTTATAAAACACTTATTTTCAAAAATTACACAGTGGTAATCGATTACCCTTCTTGAGGTAATCGATTACCAAAAGTTCTAGAATGAGACAGTAGCTCAATTTGGGCTCCCCTGTTTTGGGTAATCGATTACCTTGACATAGATAATTGATTACTGAACTAGGTAATCGATTACCTATGCTCAGGTAATCGATTACTTTGATCACAGTGGATCAAATCTTGCGTCCTCTGTTACAGGTAATCGATTACCAAATAAAAGTAATCGATTACCCTACTGTCAAATGACAGATGACAGCTTTTAAAACACCAAATAGGTTATGTATTCTACGCTCGACACTTTACTACTAAATATACAACTTACACAAGAACTAATGTAGGCTATAGGCCCTTCCATCATGCATAATCATTATCCAATATGTCAATTACAATGATTCCCAATACCATAGCCATTTAAACATCAAATGGTCTATTTACAACACAAGTTTCCAAATGCCTTTAAGAACAAAATATGTGGCCATGGACAAGTCCCATGCTCACTCTAAATGTCAATACAAACCATAGGCATCAATGTACAACAACTACATAGACTTAGAATCTAGTCATGAACACCCAAAAGCATGGCAATAATAACATGCAATATGTTCATGATCTAAGTCCAAAATACTAAATGTAATGTTATGTGCATCAAATAATACTCCTCCAAAATGCCATGCCCTCCATATGCACATCATGCTCAAACTCTTATACGCAAGCTTCTTGCCCGATGGTCCTCCATGCTCACCATAACTTGAAATGATGTCCCCAAACGCAGGGTGAGATATACAAATATATCTCACTAAACCAAGGGTACTAGAGGATCACTCCACCGCATGGCTCACTCAATGTGGAACAAGAAACATCATGTAAAATGCATAACATACAAAGTCACAACCAACTGGGCTTACATCCAAGAACATCCATAGCAGGATTTCGTTCAAGGACCCCGTCATATAACTCCTGGGAATCTTCCTAGTGCCTCTCCCATGGATGAGATGACCCTATGGCAAAACCCAACTGGAACTCCTCAAGAGACCTATCTAGCGGAAGTCCCACGTTTGGATCATCCTGGTACCGCTCCCAGAGTCTGCCCACGGCAAAACCCGATCGGAATCTCCCAAAGGGATATCTCCAGCGGAAGTCCAAACCACACACTTCTATTGGCCAGAGATCATAGATATATCACACAATTCAAGCAACAATGCATGAACATACAATTTCACATAATGTCAAAAACACAAAATCCAACCACAACCTTCCACCAGGTGTGGCGGAACACACGAGGGAATAAAACCCAAGTTCCAAAGGTTTACCTCAACTCCGTACAAAGCTCCACAACATAAGCTCCAAGTTTAATCCTCCTCTATTGCGTCCGTAAGAGGCAACCTATATAGGCCAATACCAAGATCATCAACACATGTATTGCCATAAATTCAAATACACAACAATACTACCCAACTTAATTACATAGGCCTAATGGTCGAGAACCCTTAAAATCAAAAATTATAGTGATTCAACGGGTTCTCACAAACAACAAACCTATTCAATTACAATTCAAAAACATAAAAAAGTTAATGCAACAGAAAAATCCCTTTTTACTTTACATAGGGTTTATTTCTCCTTTTTGATTTTTTGGTTTTATTCATTTAGTTACAAAAAACTATATATCTTACATTCATTTCAAATAGCTCAACCATTTTAATCATCAATCTAACTCACTAATCCACCAATCATGCACTATAGCATCAACCATTGATTAAACCACATTTTTCACTTTATTTTTTCCTAAATTCCCTTTATGGTTCGAATTCTTCCAAGAAGCATACACCAAGGCTTTCAATTCAATTTAACACTTTTACACATCCTTTAATCCTATAATTAATTCATACCAATGCTCCATAATTCAATTATTCAATCCTACCTCCACACCAATACACAAAGTATTGAAATCCCATCACAAAATTACCTAAGTTATAATTTCCAATTCACTATAATTTTTATTACATCAATCATAATCATTTATCATTCTAAGCATTTAATTCCAAAGGAGACATACCATTTAATGCTCCTAACTACCATAACTCAACATACATCATCAAAACCTCATCCAATTTATGATCTCCATTAAAACTCAAAAAGAGTAAGAAAACTTACCACCAATAGCTTCCTAGGATCCAATGGGATGATCTCCAACCAATGAATCAACACAAGGATTTCCAAAAAACTCTCCAAAATATCACAAATTTTATGGCTCACTTTGGGGTATATCTCCCTCCACAATGCTCCCCTCAAGATGCACTCTGAAAGTCATTCACAAGAGGGTGGGGAACAACTTTGTAGTTGGGAGTTTCTCCTAAAAATGGCTAGAAAAGGGAGTTGGAATTCAAAGAGCTCAAACCCCAACAATGGCCAAGACTTCCACGGGAAGAAGGAGAAGGAGGAGAGAGAAAGTGGGAGGAAAATCAGATTTCAAGTCACTTTATCCACTTAAGTCACTTAAGTGGGTCCCACAAGTCACTTAACTTTCTTAAATCACCTAATTTAATCCACAAATTCATAACCTACGTATTTTTCTCGTCCACGTCATATTTTTACTTTCTAAAAATACTGATCATATTTTCGCGCTTATCGGTACAATTATACTGCAGTATTTTACACTGGTAAAATCACTATTCATCAAAATTTTCAAAACTTGCCTATCCACTCGATTTTTCGTTCTGAATCCATTTCTGGCATTATTTTTACCATTTGAGACCTTTTACTCAATTTTTCATGCCTAGGGTTGCGTGTTTGGTAAATTACCATTTTGCCTTTTTTACGTATTTTGGCCCTAATTTCAGGATTTTCACTAATCCTACCCTTTAAACCATATTTTCATATATAATAATACATTTTAGACATACGAGGTGTTATATTCATCCCTCCTTTTTGAAATTTTGTCTGGAAAATTAATTCATCCTCCCGTTCCGAAGTAACGTCCTCAGGTGTACGACCTTCTCATTGAATCTTTAACATAGGGATTACTATACTTCTTAATCTCTTTTCACTGTGGTCCAGTATTTCAATGGGACCAATGAGAGTCTTCAGGTTCTCCCAAATTTCAATATCATCTGGTATCACCACATGTGATCATCCAGAACATAACGACGCAGTTGCAAACTTTCTCTGATTGACCAATTCATTTCCACTAGTTGGGTTATCTTACTTATAGAGCCCATAATTTCTTTTGAAGAGTGTGATAACCTATTTAGCTTATCACAAATATCCATATAGGATCATATCTAGTCTAAATCTAGGGCAATTCAATCCCTCATTTTCCTAACGTTCAATCCTTGCCTCACTGACACATATCACCCTATGGCTCATTTCAACCAGAAATTTTCCTCGATTGAGTTTTAGTCCTGCAAACTCTAGAATGTTTCCCTCACTTTGATATACAACTCAAGTTTCTAAATATCTTAGTTCACATTAAATACCGTT